TTTGGTATCCCAAGATCTTCTTCTAGTTCTCGCACAGTCATACGACGATCTTGTTCGATTGCAAGTCGCACCCGCTCAATATTATCTGCGGTTTTTGTCGTCGAAGATCGGCCGGAACGAGAATCACTATCGACAGAAGTGTGACCATCCTTGAACCGCTTATACCACACTTTTATTCGTGTTTTGCTCGTACACTCGCTTCCGAAGGCCTTTTATATCATTGCAATAGTTTTCGAACTCGTTTTTCCGAGTTGAAAGCAAAATTTGATGCAAATTCGTTGGTCTTGTTTTTCAGTCATTTTTGACAATATCAAAATCCGACGAACGCGAAAAAGGCACTGTAAACAAAGAAACACTGCGCATGAACTATACGTCCGGCAGGTGTCAGTAAGTAACCAATAGATTCGCCAAGCTTTACTGTTGACGTTTCTGTCCGGTAGAGGTCGCTCGAACACTATGGCGCGAAGATATAAACGTAGGCCCGATACTTTCCGGACAGACCTCGTATATTATCGAAGCTGTAACTGATTTCTTCCCCTATTTCTTTAAATGTTCCACACTTAGAAATTGATGACGTCGAAGACACCAGTGCATTAGATGTACGTTTTAAATAAGCTGACGTAGAAGGTACTGCATTTGTAATGCGATCTGCGATTGCATTTTTGTTCCAAATTGAATTTACTACGTATCCCTCAGCGACACTGTTAAATTTCCATCCGCCATGTCTTTTCAAAACAGTTATATCTGCTCCAGCGTCGACCAGTATTGTAGCGGAGGATCGTCGAAATGTATGACCTGTATACAATTTCGAATTTTCTAATTGCAGGTATTTGGCAGTTTCACATGGTATATTTCCAATTGTATTGATACCTAGAGGCTCCTCAATACATTTTCCATTTCTGTAAGTTAGAAAAAATCTATTTGTCTCAGAAATACTTTAAGCTTGTCTTTCATAATCATACTTCTTGAGAATTTGATAAAATCTACTGACTAATGTAAACGACCTTACAATTTTTGTTTTCGTTTTTGGCAATGTTACATGGAAAAACGAATCATGATCTTCCACATCAGCTATACAAACATTTGTCAATTTATCCCTTCGACAAACACCGGAAATTCCTATAACGAGTGCAGCCTGTAAAATAATTTCTATTTAAGTTAATTGTATATTTTACATTAACAACTATCGTTGACAAAATATTTATTACGTATACATAGCTTCATAAATAGATATAATTAAGCTGGTGCTTCATTGAAAAACTTTGAAACATCCGATGATGTGAAAACGCGTGATTTTTTGGGAATATATCCAATATTTCTAATCTCATATATAAACAATGGTTAAGGAAAATCCCTCATGTAATTAAAACAACACTCTTGAAATTTCAACGTTTCGCCATAAATTCATGGCCTCTTCAGGAAAACTTTCTTAAAAAAAAAAAAAAAATTATGAACAATTAAAAACTTGTTTTTTTTTTTTTTATAAACAATTCGACATGATCATAACACTACAGTACACATCTAACAATAATAATAAAATCATTCGTACTCACAACTATAGAAAACCTAAGTCATAGTAATGTCAATTAATAAAATATTTTTACTATTCAGAAACAAACCGAAAAGTCAGAGATATAAAATGAACTGTGAATTTAAAAGTGGTACAACTGTCTATATACTAGAAATGTCAATATAGTAAGCAATTAAACAACCAATCAGAGTCAAGCACGAAACGGAGATGCCCGAACAATTCGAATCACACAAATAAAATTCAATGACAAGAGCGCATCTTTTTTACAACATTTACAATCCGACAGTATTGTTTATTGAGAAGCTTCACATCTTCTTTTCTGTTAATCGTGTTATCACTAATATTAATATTAATCATCTCAGATGTAATTCTTTTTTTGTAATTTGATTCTCTATCCAAAATAACTGTGTTTTCCCAATCAAATTCATGGTTAGGAAAATTCTCTATGTGAGAAGATACTGGTAACTTATTTTTTCCTATTGAATCTTTGTGTTCTTTAATTCTCTTTTTTAAACTACGTTTTGTTTCCCCCACATAATTCGCAGGGCATGATTTACAATTGAATTTGTAAACGACTCCAGTTTCATCCCACTTTGACAATTTGTCCTTGCCTAATTTAATTATATTATTGAGTTTTTTGCTTAAAATAGGAACACATGTCCATAAAAATATCCAATATTTGTTTTTTTCAGAAAACCTATCAGCTGTGCGTACGCACATAATATCTACATTGTCGAAAGTCTTTATTGTGGTTTTTAACATTGAATATTTAGACCACAGCGTAGAGGCAACATATTTCGTCGATAATTCATTGAAGTGTACTATTAATTCAGATTCAGCAAATGATCTTGTATTTTTCGTGCTTTTCCATTTCTTGAATTCATTATACACTGCTGTATATTTCTGTTTGGAAGCATCTGGTAATGACTTCAAGTTGATTTATTTGGCTACTGCAATCAATTCAGATAGCACAAATCACTGTCATAGTCTGAATCACTGTGTCCCGAAACCATTTTAGTCCCTTTTCACTCATAAAATAGCTATTTCACAAAATAAATGCGACAGAAGGTAAAACACGATTTTAAACAATTGAACGCGCACGTTTTGATAAATCTATTCAGGCAACGCAACGTAAATAATACGGCGTTTTGACAGACAAGAGCGACGTGCTTGCGTTAACCATGCACCGTGCATGCGCAGCTGTCATTCCAGCACACTAAGCCAGCGTGCGGGAATAAGGCCCTTTGCGAACGTATGTGCGTGCGCAAAATCGAACTTTGCGCACGATAGTAGGAAAAATACTTTATTGAAACATTTCCAACCTTGCTCCATTAATAAGTTGTAGACAATGTTTTTGAGGCATAAGTTTCAACTATAATCTACCTACCTATTCGGATAAATTATCTGTGACAGGGTTGACAGCGATGTTTGCTGGCTCTGTGTGCGGCCCTTTCCTCGTACGGATGCGGCGACCGACCATGGCTATGGTAGCATTGAATTCACGCTTGTGTCATTGCAGAGCCTGGATAGGGAGGACGTAGTCGGCGGAGAAAGCCACCAAGAAGCGAGACCGAGAAGAGCCGAAGAGACGGCGAGAAAGTAATTAGGAGAATAGAAGGTGGGGGAAAAGCGTTACATGGACATTCTCCGGACGACACTATTAGCCGGATGGCGCTTCTGTTAGCGAGCGGCAAACGCAGGAGCCTGATAGGTCGCTCTCATGAGCCATTGTTTTCCTTTCTCTGGCGCCAGTTATCGCTTGGGTACAACGTTATCGCCTTTCATTACTTACGCCGGTAGCGTTGAATAACCTCGTTCACGTAGTTCCCGCTTCTAATGTAATGACTTCGCAGGTTAAACGAACACGCTCACTCTCTTGCTGTAACTCCTTGGCCCTTATAAATCAGTGTATTAACATGATAACGTAATATATATGATCGCCCTTTTCAATATGTATAGAAATCTTGATTGTTTATTAAACGTTTCTCGTCGATCCTTCCCGCAATTTGTGTTAGGTTCACGCTTGTGGAAATCAGCGCCGGCTTCCTTAACTGGAATAGGAGCCCTTAACCCGCGAGGCACAACTGTGGACCACAGTAGCTTATCGTTCCCCTTCCATATCCTTAAAGATAAATATAAACAAAAGCGCTGATCAATAAAAAAAATTTATATCATTGTTTAGTTAGAAAATATGGCTTTTCAAAAATAGTTTTATGTATTTAATTATTGTTGAGTAAATATTGTGCAACAATTACCGAAAATCGTTCGACTCGCGCAAGGTTAATGAGCGGCTGAACGAAAGAAGCCGCGATCGGTTCGCGAGAGAGAGAGGGCGCGTAGGGGCAATGACTGGGAGGGGAGCGTTCAACAGGCAGTATGACTGTGTCACTCAGTCGGCCTGCATCGTAGCTAACCTGTTTCCGAGCCGTTTACGTTTTCGTGTGGTGGTGCGAGGTCAGAGGTGCGAACTTTGGTGCGGTGTGCTGGGTTCAGCAACAGCAGCAATAGCAGCAACAGCAGCAGCAGCGACAGCAACAATAGCAATAGCAGCAACCGTAGCAGCAACAACATCAGCAGCAATAACAGCGAAGTGCGGCGAGTAGCGGAGCAGCTAATTAGCGACGCGTGCTTTGGATACGGTTGGCCACCGTATCCTCTACTATCTCGTGGTAGGTGCACCTTCTCATTATTGTTAATAGCGTGCGGTCCCGCGCAGCGTGCGCGAAGAGATTAATTGTTGCGTGCGAGCGGTTAGTTCGCGGCGAACGGGTTTTCTCTCTCTCTCTCATTCAGCGTATATTGTCATTCGCGCTAGCGTGCGCAAGACTCTCGGCAAATCCTCCGTGTAATCGAATTGCATGAATAAAGTGAACGTTAGCCTTTACTTAATCTAGTCATCGTTATTTTGTCTTTCCTTTGTCCGGAGGTCGCGTCTGTTTACATTCGATTCAAATAAGCCGGTAGCGTAGCACGGATCACGCGGATACCGGTAGGCGGGAATCGTCAACATAGTTTCCAGCAGCGGCCGCTCGAGCACTACTAAGCAAGGGCGATAGCGCTGCCAAGCGGCGAGTTGGGGGAACCCAACTCGGAGTAGCGAAGAGACTCTGCGCAGGCGCACTCCAAGACAAGGTAGGTTGATGTGCTTCGAGCACATAGATAACTAGGCGTCGTTTAGTCATTATATAGGTACATTCAAGAGTTATTATAGGCTGAACGGCAGCCTGTTACAATTGATAACAAAATTAATTAATTAATTTATTTATTTATCTATTAATTTATCTATTTAATTATTGTTAAGTAAATATTAATAATGAAATTAAGTAAAGCAGTCAGTAATTAAAAAAAAATTATTTACAATATTTTGGACAAACCTTCGGAAATCGTCTAAATGTAGATTCATTAAAAATATAAATATGACATTGACGAAAGAATAATAATATAGAATAATAATACAAATTTAAAATACCTTCATCAGCTCCATTACTAAAAACAAATGGTCGTTTGTTTCCTGGTCTTCTATTAAACTTATAATGTTTGGATGAGATACTTGTCTTAAAATGGTTACTTCTCTTAATAACATAGCTTCTTTTCCTTGGCACTTGTATTTATCAATGATTTTTAAAGCGTAGCAGGTACCACTTGTTCTAAAAAATATTTGTAAAAGATGCATTTCACATAGAGCACTTCTGAGGCAAATATTAGATAAGACTAAAATTATTCAATTAAATAATTAGTAGTTAATATATTACATTTACGAGACTTAATAATTTGAAACCGTAGTGTATCAATAAACTTTGTCAACATACTGAAGTAAATGTAGAATAACATTATACGCTTAAATACGTACTTGTGTGAATAAGTGTGGACAAGAACATTAAAGACAGCAACGATTCAGCATTGTACATGAGACAGAGAGGGAGAGAGAGAGAGAGAGACGTTTTAACAAAGATAACACAGGGAAATCTTGTTTAACCTTTTAGCTGAAGGGGTGGTGGTTATGTGGACCACTCTAGAGACATAGAATATTTGAAGTTCTTAGATCAAATTCAATGTTTTGAATACATAATAAGTAGTTTATAAATTTCTCAAAACATTCTTGACCTTGAAAAGCTACACTCAACGTCACATTTCTTTTCTTGTATAAGTGAATGTCGTAGATGACTTTGAAACGTCAATGACGCCCTAAAGTAAAAAAAAAAACAGTAAAAAAATATCCTCAAAGTATTTTTGACCGAATCTCTATTTCAAGGTGAAACTCTAGTTTTCAGTACAAATGTAGTGGTCTACAGCTCATACGAGGGGTATCCGATAAGTACTTAGCCTACAAAAGAAAAACGAAAATTTTGGAAATGTGGCGTTTTATTTTTCAACATAGTCTACTTTTAGTTCGATACACTTGGTCCAGCGATGCTCCAACTTATTTAACCCGTCTGAAAAATATGTTTCCTCGAGGTCTGAAAAGTAGGCTTCCATGGCAGCGATTACCTCCTCATTCGACTCAAATTTCTACTCGGCGAGTGACTTTTTCAAGTTTGGAAACAAAAAGAAGTCGCACGGGGCTAAATCTGGAGAATACGGTGGATGGGACAGCAGTTCGTAGCCTAATTCGACCAATTTGGCCATGGCGACGGCGGAGGTGTGAGCCGGTGTGTTGTCACGGTGGAAGAGCACTTTTTTCTTCGCCAAATGGGGCCGTTTTTTCTACAATTCGACATCGAATCGGCCCAATAATTTGGCATAGTACAGCCCTGTGACCGTTTTGCCTCTCTCCAGGTAGTCGATGTAGATCACACCTTGTGAATCCCAGAAAACGGTGGCCATCACCTTTCCGTCCGATGGGGCAGTCTTCGCCTTCTTCGGAGCACTTTCGCCGGGTAAAGTCCACTGTTTCGACTGTTCCTTGGTCTCTGGTGTATACCAGTGGATCCATGTTTCGTCGACTGTCACGAAACGACGCAGAAACTCCTTCGGATTACGCTTAAATAGCGTCAGACATTGCTCTGAAGTTGTCTCACGGTTGCGCTTGTTATTCGGAGTGAGCAAACGCGACACCCATCGCACCGACAGTTTTCTCATGCCCAAAATTTCATGCAGGACATGACCCACACGGTCTTTTGAGATGCCTACGATCTTAACTATCTCGCGCACCTTCAATCATCGATCTGCCAATACGAGATCGTGAATTTTTGTCACGTTATCCTCCGTGGTAGCCGTTTTCGGAGCACCTGGACGTGGCTCTTCAAAAATCGACGTGCGACCACGTTGAAATTCATTAAACCAATCTTTGACGGTTGCCATCGAAGGAGAAGAGTCACCTTACACAGCATCCAAGCGCTTTTTGATTTCGCTGCGCGATTTCCCTTCCAAAAACAAGAATCGAATCACCGACCGACACTTTTTCCATTTTTCAAAAATCAACGGACACACTTGCTTTCACACGCTCTCAAAAATAAACTACAACTCCGATATGGCTGAAATCTTGACAGTAACCATCGAGAAGGTTATACTACGTGATAGAATATTTCTTTTGCGAGAGTTGCGCCATCGGGCGGTGAGGCTAAGTACTTATCGGACCACCCTCGTATCTGAAAATTACATAAAATATACTATGGCATTCATTCTCAGTATAACCTGAGATCAACGGCGAGAATGGGAAACTTTTTTCGATATTTCGGTCTGGGAATACAACTTTATTGATCTACTAAGCAAATGCTATCATATACTGCAGAAATTTATAAAATATTTTAATGTGAAAAAATTGATTTTTTGTTAGTATCTACAAAAGGACCGGCACTCGATTTTTTTATATAGAGGAATTAATTTTTTACTCATTCACTTTCACAATGTAGCAGATCGCTCTTTTTCATTTAATATTTATTATTTTCTAGGATTTTTATAGTATGTACGTAATTTTTATTATTTTCATTTTCCTTTAATAGTGATCGACAAGCGTCTCGTACTTTTATCTTCCATAAAATGGCAAAAAATGGAGCTTGGAGTAATGGCGAGTCCAAACAGGAAAATGAAATATTAGAAAATGAAGATATCGGTGAAATCGAATCGGAAGACTTTTTATAACGAACCTCAACTTTTTCATAATGCGCATTTTTACTTATTAATTAAAGATTTTGAAGGTAGTTCCGAAATAAACCAGAATATTTCTTTTTCAGAAAATAAACCAATTGACTATTTGAATTACACAGGCCGACAAAATTTGATGAAAGTCCAGACCCAGAGACCAGACATAGTGTACCCGAAGGAATTTGATGCGCTGAATCCGAATCTGGCCTCAGAATTGATCCATCACCCTTAGTTTCTGAGATATCCCAACCTGAAAGTGCAAAAAAAGACTGTTTTTCGCTGATTTGAACTCTTCTCACATTGTTAATTTCCATTTAGTCAAAAACTAGAAAGAACATTCGAAAGAGCAAGTTGTCTACTTTAAAAATCACTACCTAATTTTTTCAATTAAAATTTAAAAAATTAAGATATCGTTCTTTGAAATAGAAAAAAAGTGTAGGATTCTTGAAGTTTGACTTAGGGATTAGCCTGTCATGGGTGTAAGGAATCTAGGGTTCTTAAGGTTTGGGTTTGACATTAACCTGGCGGAGTGTAAAGAGTTTATATTATTTATGACTTTGTATGTTTGCAATTCTTGTTTCATGCATGTTTTACGTTATTGGATAACTCAGCAATTAGGGTTCGTGATTTGACGCCAAAGACATTTTGAATTTATTAATTGATTAAGATTGTAAGTGTTGTCTGATTAGATTGCATTATTAACTGGAATTTGCAGATTATATATGAATTATTAATCTATTCTTACACACCTTAGATCATTTTTCAGGTAGTTTATAGTACCATTGAAAACTCAAATCTTCTCTATTTCAAACAATATCTCCGCTTCAAAAATTTTAATTGAAAAAATTAGGTAGTGTTTTTTAAAGTAGACAACTTGCCCTTTTGAATATTCTTTCCAGTTTATTAGTAAAATGGAAATTAGCGACGTGAGAAGAGGTCAAAAACAGCGAAAAACAGTCTCTTTTGCACTTTTATGTTAGGATATCTCAGAAATTAAGGGTGATTGATTAATTCTGAGGCCAGATTCGGATTGAGCGCATCAAATCCTTCAGATACACTATATCTGGTCTCTGGTTCTGAAAACTGTAGGCCAGAGTTATTTTTGTGATTCATCTTTACTCCAAAAAATTGTAGAAGAGACAAATCGTTATGAAACTCAAAATCCACATGAAAACTTGGTCTGTTGTCACAAAAACAGAACTAGAAAATTTTCTTGGCGTTTCGATTCTAATGTGCTGTATCCAGAAAGGCGATGTGCAAAGTTATTGGTCTACAGATCTTTTACTGCACACTCTGATTTTCGGTCAAATAATGTCTCGCGATAGATTTATTCAAATCCTGCGATGCTTACATTTTCATACTAATAAAGATATCGTAAATCATCTTTTAGTGAAAATAAAGCGAGTAATAGAACACGTACAAAAGAAATTTTCGACAGTTCTCACTCCAGGGAAAATCTATGCATAGATGAAAGTTTATTATTGTGGAAAAATAGGCTTCGATTCAAGCAACATACGAGTATTTCTTTGAAGAGATATCGCTTTGGCATTAAGTTCTTCATACTTGTAGTCTGCGAGACAGAATTCGTATTGGGTTTTGTGATTTACACTGGAAAAGACACTTATTATCAGAAGTTTGATTTAGGTGTTACTGGCGTTATTGTAACTCATTTTTTACAACCTTACTTTTATAAGGGTCATGTTGTATATATAGACAAATGGTATATATCTCCTACTTTGCCAGAATTTTTACATAATCGTGATGCAGGTATGTATGGTACGGTGAAATCAAATAGAAAGGGAATACCAAAGCTTAAAAACAAATTAGTCCGAGCTGAAGTACAAGTCTTTCATAGTTATCAGTGAGATAGGAAAACAAACGTAGCGTTCTTATGCTTACAAGTGTACACGAACTTGATTTCTGTACAACTGGGAGAAAAAGTCATTTAACAAATAAAAACATTATAAAGTCAAAACATGTTTAATATTACAATAAAAATATGGGTGGTATCGATAATATTGATAGACAAATATCTATCACAGAATCAGTGGGAAAAACAATGAAATGGTATAGAAAGTTTTTTTTTTCTTTTCATTGATCTTTGACTATCTAATGCTTATTCATTATATAAAATGAGAAATGAAGGAGCTACATCACGCCCTTCATTTCGATTACAGATAGTTCGCTCATTGTTGAAACTTGATCTTTCTGCAAACATATCTCCTTATGATGATCCTTCGACTCGATTAGTCGGTCGCCATTTTCCAAGGCAAAATACAAGATGGACATATCATATGTGTTCTTTGCGTAAGACTGTACATCGAATAATATATATGTCACATTTGTTATATTCCTCTATGCGCAGTACCATGCTTTGAGTATCATACAAAAGAGAAATTACTATAAACTCAATTATTTTGACCTGAGAAGCAGAAGAACTTACGACAATAAAGCACTCCGACATGAGAGGCAAGGGAACTCATGGAAATCAAGTACCCAATAAGATCACCTTTTCGCCACGTCCACGTCATTGATCCTAGATCATGCTGAGAGCGGAATTCTG